GAATGTGGATGGTAACTAGTGATTTCACTGAAATCCATGCCAATTCCCCATTATCCGATACGTAATCAATAATTCTGACTTTTGTTTAAGTCAGGAGGTCCGATCTTTGAGGTCGACGCAGAGGAAATGAAGTGAAAAATGAGATAAATCAATAGAACGACACAAATGCTGTTAAACGGCACTTGTGTCGTTCTGTTAATAAACACGAGTTTGAGCAGTCGCGAGCCTTTCGGGCCCCTGTATTCGAGAACTTGAACTTATTTGAGTCGCGAGATCGACATGTCGCTCACATAATTTGGGAGATACCCTCATTACTTTGGTTTTCTAACGAATGTGGATGGTTACTTGTGATTTCACCGAAATCCATGCCAATTCTCTCATCATCTGTCACATAATCAATAATTCTGACTTTCTTAAGTTACGAGGTCCGATCTTTGAGGTCGATGTGCGGATGAAATGAAGGGAAAAATGAGATAAATCGACAGAACGACACAAGTGTCGTTAAACGGCACATGTGTCGTTCTGTCAATAAACACGAGTTTGAGTAGCCATAAGCCTTCCGGACCCCTATATTCGAGAAGTTGAACTCATACGAGTGGTGAGATGTACATGTTGCTCACATAATTTGGGAGATACCCTCATTACTTTAGTTTTCTAATGAATGTGGATGGTGACTTGTGATTTCACCAACGCGATATCTACAATCTATGCCAATTCTTCTGTTATTTGTTACGTAATTAATAATTTTGACCTTCTTAAGTTAGGAGGCCCGATCCTTAAGGTCGACGCGGTGAAAATAAAGCGAAATATAGGAGAAACCAACATAACAACATAGATGCCATTAAACGTCACTTGTGTCGTTCTGTCGATAAACACGAGTATGAGCAGTCACACGCCTTCCAGACCTCGATATTCCATAATTTGAACTCATGTAATTTGCGAAATGGACATGCCGCTCACATAATTTGAAAAATACTCTCATTGCTTGGACAACATGAAAAATGAGAACAACACTAGTGATGTTACTGTTATGAAAACAACACAAGTGTCGTTACTTATGTAAATACGATACGAATAATTGATAACTTGTATATTTAAAAATAAATTGTTACTAGATCAATGATATTTAATATCTAAACATCATTTCTATATTTTTTAGGTAAAATACTCGAAATGGTACCGTGATATTTTGTTATAACAAAAAATAAATATCTATCATTATGACTTCATCGATTCAAGTATATATTAAAATAATATGAAAATAGTTACAATATTTAAATTATCAAAGTAACCACAATATATTATCAATAAGAGACAGATCATAACAGATAATGGTTGTACTGTCACTTTACATGGAGGATAACGACTGTAGTGTCGTTCTACACTACAGATAACGACTGGACTGTCGTTTCCAATCGTTATCGTCCAATAGTTGCGGACGATACAAATATACACCAAATGAGAAAATAAAATCAATTAAAATATCATTTTATATTATATTAAACTGAGATTTCTAAAAATACCTTTCTTTTTTTTTTAAATATAGTGAAAATCTCAATTTAGATAGTATAGATAATAAAATTCTTGTTCAAATGCTCACAATGTTGGAGAAAATAGAAGAAAAATACAATGAATATCAAGATTTTAGGGAAGAAATCATAGGGAAAACAGGTTAATGCATTTTGTAGATGAATTGAGGGATTTAATTAGATTGAAAGGGGTATTTGGGTATTTTCCATGATGAGAGTACTTTAGATATTTGACATTATTTGTTTATTGTATTTTATAAATGAAGGTCATTTGACCAAGAAACATTGAAGGAAAGTTATTTTATCAAAATCATTGTTTGACTAGGCTTTTTTATCAAATCCCCCAGTAAGGGGAATTTGGCCAGATGACCCACTTGGACAATGATTTTGGAATGCCAACTAAATAAACGAGCTCACAACCAAAATATTCAACATTTATTACAATACAGAAAGGGCATGGAAAAATTGACAAAGCAGTCACAGAAGGAAAATACCAAAATTATCAAAATGTAACAACAGTTTTATCTACTATTCCATTCCACTACACGGAGATCTAGTTAATGCTCTTCATTTCATATTCTCCTCACCGCATTTGAACAATTCCCGCACTGATCAGTTTCTGTATTTTGTTCATAACAAGAGGGTTCCCCATGTGATCCCGTGCAGACTTGGGATTTTCCTGGAGATCGACGAGGACCTGGAGAACACAACATAGTTATAATCATAGGAGGATTCTTTTATGTACTTCTCTAAATTATAATAACAGTTGAGACTCGAGAAATCTACATGTTTATACCTGTTGCATCACTGGATCTGTTAGAATGTTCTGAATCTCCGGATCTTGCATTGCCTTAGCCTGCAGAAGTCAACATAGTTAAAGTAGCGATTCAAACATAGCTTCACAAAAAGACATTAACATGAGTAGAATCTATCAAACCTGTCTCTCCTTGAGTTCCTCGGGGCTCAAGTCTCCACGGCCAGCCTTGTTTATTTGCTCTACACACCTGTACAAAAACTCACATTAGTTATGCAGTCCAAACCCATAAAATGTTTTCATTGAACAAACCAAACCGAGTAAGTTATTTATGTTTCTTATACCTCCTAACACCGTCTAGCAATTCCGGGTTCCGGGGATCATGCTTTAGTCCTTCCTGGTACGTCTCCAAAGCCCTATCATATTCTCTCATAAAGAACTGGATTGTCCCCTTTCTAGTATAACCTTTAGCAAATGTTGGATCGAGCTCAATGCATTTTTCAGCATCTTTCAGTCCCTGGGGAAGAGCCCCAAGCTTTGTGTAACAAGCAGCCCTATTGCTATATGCCTGCAAACTCATAGACGTTATATAAATCCACATGAACATTATCTTTTAACTCCACTTAATCTTAAAATGCAGATACCGGCAATAACATGATACCTTGGGATCTTTTGGGTTCCTTTTTAATGCTTCCGTGTAGTGCTTCACAGCCTCCGGATAATTTTGCTCTTTGAAATACTGGTTGCCTAAAATGTGACGACAAATTCAGTTACAACTGCAAAAGCATAATCAATGTGAACCAATAATACACTTCAGAAGCAAATACCTTTCTCACGCTCCTCATCAGCTATCTGTGGATCAAAGTACTCTTGTTGCTCTAGTTCTTTCTTCGCTTTCTCAGCATCATTGAGCTTCTTCAATGTATCGGGGTTGCGATGCTCTGTGAGCGCTTTATGGAAAGTCTCAATGGCAGGTTCGTAGTCCTTCGAACATTTTGCCATCTTCACTAAGGCAGTTCCCTTTCTTGTCAGAGCTCTTGCGATCATCTTATAGTCCAACCGAATCTCTCTTCCCCTTTCAACAGCTTCGTCACAATCTTTAATGCAATCCTCGTACTGGAATCCAGTGACAAACATGCGAAATGATATCAATCATGAGCACAACTACAAACAGAGAAGGACCAGAGTGCAATTGCATTGTAAGGTCGTAATTAAACAGATCGAGCGAGCAAGCTCGAATTGACGCAAACATGTGGCCTATTGTTTACAAAAATTACCATACTTGCCCCAACCCTACAACATAAAAATTATTTTAATCCATGTCACTTTCTCTAACGCTATATCTGAAGATGAAGCGCCCACTTTAACCCTTAATCCAAAAAGCCAAAAGCTGTCCAAGACATGAAAAAGTTTGCCGCAATTGCTACTTTATTTTACACCCCATGCCACCTCTTTAACTTTTTATCTTCCTCTCCTATTCATATATAATTTCAATGAATAAATCAAATGGAAGAAGACGTTGAATGCAAAAGAAGAAAGCTTCTAATTTAGTTTCAGATGTTGCTCACGAAGAATTTAAGATATGCTTAGAGACAGATGAATAATTATACCAAATAACTTGACCCATTAACCACACACAAACACTCCTTTCATTTTCCTTCTTCCCAAGAGAAAGAATAGGAGAGCACTATAAGCCCCAGTTTGTTTCCCATTTTTTCCATTTTTAAATGAAAAATATGACCGTTATCTATCACATCAAGCCATCAAATTTGAATTTCTATCTCTTATGTAGGACTCATAATGGTTATATTTTTTATTCTCATTCTTACAAAAATGAGAAACAAACGCCCCCTAATGAATCAAAAAGAGTAACGTTGAATCTCTAAAATGATATTCAAATTGCAAAAGTACACCTATCAACTTCTGAGGTGTCAATTTCCAAGATGCAGAACCTGACATCCATCAACTTGTGGTATCTAACTTTCACAACATGACATGCCTCTGTGCTACAGAGAAGGACAAATGGACACATAATCCACGCAATCATCAGTGGTAATATCAGACATACCCTTCTATTTGTTGCATTCATATGCTTAATGATTGCTTAAAAATATCCAATAACATAACATTAAATTAATGATCAGAGACAACTGAAGGGTTAAACTCAAAGTCCTGGGAAATCGTATTATTCTGCTCTTCAAGACGTTAAGTTCCTGAATACAGCACTCTTTCTACTTGCTACTTTATTTCCAGAATGCACAGAAGGTTATAATTAGCCTATATGAGGTACAACTGTACAAGCATCCAACATACCATCGAAAGTACCTGAGAGCTTAGAATGTCCACAAATCTCATCGTCAAGAATCTTTATAATCGCTTGGATACACGGATGTCATCAAGAGAAGATCGTTCAAGAACTAAACATCCTCATTATGAATCATGGAAGTAACTCAATTGATTTCAAAGAAGCCTTATTCAATACTTACCTGCACTTGGCCACCAAGAAGCCCTTTTTATGTTCCATTCTACCAAGAGTGATATACAAAAGTAAATCACAAAGACTTGCATCCTTCTCCACTACCTCATTTTATATGATTTAAGCTACCATTGCTTTCCAATTTTACCAGAAGTGATAATTTTATCAATCCTAATCAGTCCACCTGATAGATACCGCTAGATACGTACAAACAATATCAACCATCTCTTTCATAATTAATCTTTGACAATCAATGCTATAACCATCTCACAAGTATGTTAATTGGCTATTAATAATGAACGTACATGTCTCCTAGTGAACCCCAATCCTTCCTCATGACAGATTGCAAGTTTAATTATAGCCTTTTTACATTTTCCTTCCATAACAAGAATTTGTTGACATAACCAAAGAAGAGCTCCTCCAATTAACCCAATCAACTATGATTCGCTTTACTCACATCATCTCCAATAAATTGCATCCTTGTAAATAACTGATCCTCTTTATAAAAAATACGTCTTGAAGTACTATCTAATCTCCAATCTTCATTTCTTCTCTGCATGTGCTTCCACTTAACTGAAATTGGAGTCCAACATACTCGATCAGTCAGTATAACTCAAATTGATTTGGATCTGTTCCTTCTAATCTAATGCCATAACTCCAATATAGGAATGATCTCCTGTTTACTCTCCAAATAGTAAAAATCATCATCCAGAAAATATCAAGACATTACATAAGATATAGGCCAAAATGAACTAAAAAAATAAAACATTAGCAGAGAGAATTCTTAGCTAGCTGAACTTATTGAGATTAGGATGAATACCACTATAAAATACCTACCAGAATTCCCACTTCAAAGAATGTTGCATTACTCCAAGAAAAAGAACATGCAGGGAGCAAGTAAACACCATTGCGCACAGAATAAAGAAACCACACAATTAAACTTCAAAGAGTCATAGGCCACTCGGCTTTGCCAAGACCTTGATCAGAGGAAAAAAATAGCTATAATATTTCAACTATGGAGGCATAAAAAACTCGAGTTAACTACTAGAGCAAAATCTGCACCCAAATCAATAGGCATCCTATCAGTAATCACTCAGACTGCAAAAACTTTAGCCCAGACTAACCCTGCATTTACCTTAATGAGAATCAAACCCATACTCAACATCATCCCAAAAATCCAGCAAGATTCATACAAAAATTCACAAAAAACAATAATAAATATTTAAAATAATTATGATCCACCAAACCCACTTTCAGTAACCTACTATATCAACTAAAACACACTAGGAATCAATCAGATAAGGCTAATCAGCTTCCCCAAAAACTATAATGCCAACGCAAACCAATTGCAAACGCAATTATCATGAAAAGATTTAAAAAAATAAAATAATAAAATAAAAAAATAAAAAAAAAACACTTCAAACCACCACAGTCCATTTACGAACAAACAAAGATTCAAGTATATAATGCACCTTCCCCATCTCCAAGTACACAGCAGCACGATTAGTGCGGAAAGAGATATCCTCATCGTCGAGCTCATTGGCTTTGGTGTAATGCTGAATTGCAGTCTCAAAATCCTTCTTCTTATACGCTAAAATAAAATAAAAAAATAAAAAAAAAACACTTCAAACCACCACAGTCCATTTACGAACAAACAAAGATTCAAGTATATAATGCACCTTCCCCATCTCCAAGTACACAGCAGCACGATTAGTGAGGAAAGAGATATCCTCATCGTCGAGCTCATTGGCTTTGGTGTAATGCTGAATTGCAGTCTCAAAATCCTTCTTCTTATACGCTACATTCCCGGCCTCCTTCTCTTTCTGCGCCTGTGCTTTTTTCTCCTTTTTCTCTTTCTCTTCCTCAGATAAGTCCATTGGCTCTGGTTCAGGCTCAGGCCTCTTCTCCTTGACAGTATCCGCCTCAGCAGCTGCAGGCCTCTTCCCCTCTGGTGACCAACGTGATGAGGCCTCAGCCATTTTTACATCTTCAGCACCCCTCGTCTGAACATTCACCTTCATCAACACTCCCATTGCCTGCACTATTCTTTGATCATCCACATACAATTTCAAATTATTTGGATTTTTTTGAAGGTCCTGCAATATTTTAACAAAATCAGGCTGCTGCAGGAACCCCCGCGTCGTTGGGTCATTTCCCAGCTTAACCCACATATCCGGCCCAAATGCCTCCGCAAAGAGACTGACACCGGGTCCGGTCCGAGGCCTCGAAGATCTCGCCAGAGCAGCCTCCGCTTCGGCGAGTCCAGATCTAAGCGGCTCGTTATTAGGGTCAATTTCAAGACCCCTTCTGTAAGCCAACACAGCATCATTGTAACTATGTAAGCCCATGTAAGCAACGCCAAGACGGGAGTAGCCCTTGGACCAGTCGGGCTTGATCTCGACGGTCTTCTGGGCATCCGAAAGCGCTTCAGTAAACTTGTAAAGAGAAGCATAGGCTGCGGATCGGTTGGAAAACAGAACATGGTTGGTGGGTGAAAGGTTAATGGCTTCCGTGAAGTGGCTCACGGCTTCTGTGAAGTTGCCGGCGGCAAACGCAGCATTCCCTTTCGCTTTGGCTTCGTCGGCCATTAAATTTGCTATTTATTGTTGAACAACGATTTATACGATTGTGCGTGGGCTTCTAAACTCTATAAGGGGGACAATAATGGACTGCAGAGGAATGGATAAGAGGGCAAGGGGATTTAAAAGGTAGGTGATGATGGACCAGAGAGTTCTAGTTGGGGCAGACGTTCTGGAATGTTCGAGGATATAATAACACATGGGGTATTTTTTTTTTTTTAAGGGCAAATTGCAGTAGCTTCCCAAACCTTTTAATTTTTGCAGTACCATCCCAAACTCTTGAAGAAAAATATGCTGATGAAGTACATTTGGACGGTTAAGTCCCAAATACCATAAAATAGGCACGTGTCGAATTTTTTGAAAGGAAAATTAGTACATTCTCAATTTTAATTAGATAATTTGAAAACATAATAAAAAAAGGAACAAAAAATAAGTTGAAAGAAAAAGGAGAAATTTCTTTTTCTTGGTCACCACCCTGTCACCATGATCCCCAACACCAGTGGGGATTCTCCACCTTGGTACCCAAATAAAATCACAGTGGCGACCCTTTGGTTTCACGACAACGGATTGAGCAAATGTGAACAGCGAAGTGGAGGTGGTGCTAGGAGTAGGGGATGGCGTGATTTTGTTGTGGTGGCGCACGGGGAAGAGAGAAGGAAGGGGTTACGAGCTCTCTCTCATTGTTGTTTTTGGACCACATAAACCTTCTTTTTCCTTGCCCATCTAGTGAGATCATTGCAAGCTCGTTCCTAACTTTTATTAACTAGAAGAGCTTGTTATTCTTTACAATATTCATCCAAAGCATTCTAGAGTAAAAATCACAATCTAGTCCTAACTTAAAATAAACAGAAAACAAATACAAGAATTTTTTAAGAAAACAGACAAAAAAAAAAAAAAGGTAACAAATTTTTTTGGATAGAAACTATGACAAAAGTACGAACTATGCTACTTAATGAAATGTTAGACGATTTTGCAACGAGAATGTTGGAGATAAAATTGCTACTTTGTCCAAAGATTTGGGGATAAGTGATTTGATTTATGTAAGGCACAGAGCTCTAGGAGGAGCCCAAAATGTCACTCAGAATCATAAGTTGAGTCGACAAAACAAATAACGTGGAATGCAAAGACATCATGTTAAACTAACATCAAAATATCTCCTTTTCTCTTTCTTATTTTAGAGAATTTATAACGTTCAAACTCAATTTATTTTCGTAAACTCCTTGACACTGGTGCAAATATGATTAAAAATCAAGTTGAATAACACACGGAGTCACAAAGTAGAACGTGCATAATTGACTTCCAAATATTTCTAACAAGATGTATGGTTATTAAAATATCTGAAATATACATATTAAACTTAAAATTCAC